AGACTTTTCCTTAGATAACTTATCTACCCAAAACATGTATAAATGCATGAATCATAGATGAGCTAAGATTTTTTTTTAAAATAAAGACAGCATTCTTCCCAGGCACCAACTTTTGGTTACAATCGTCACTCTGAATGAACTCCAAATATAAGAATTACGTTTTCAAGAACGTTTTCAACATTACAATTCTGAACAAGTGTATATTTTATTAAGCTCGATGTTCGAAAAAATTCAAATGAAAACAATAAAGTATTGTTCAGCCGGTTTACAGTCACAATTTGTAATGGAATCGGAATGTATCTTTTTTTACAGCACATCACACTTTAAATAGAAATACTAATAAATAAAACAGCTTCGTTGAGTTGCAATTCCTTCATAATAAGATCATTTAGCATTCATGGACATTTCACAATATCCACGCTTTACCAGATATGAAAGATCACTCAAAAATACGTTTTCTTTTTCAGTTTTCTAACTAGGTCTTACTTCTCCTGTCGTAACAATTTACAGGTTGGATACGACAGGAGAGGAGGTCGACCCTTTTGGGAATAAAAAGGTAGAAAAAGAATCATGTTGTTTTAAGAGTGTGAAACAAAAAATAATATCTTCTTAATGTAGTATCAATTCAACTAGAATAAAATTATATAATACGATATTTAAATAGATCATTTAAAAATTCATTTAATACCAACATTATAACAAAATTGAACTACAGCAGTGTTAATTATAATTCAAGCATTACCAGAAAATTTGTAATATATATATATACAGATGGAGGACAAAATAATACGAACACCTATGAAAAAGTATGACGTATTTCGCACCTGCAGTACAGCCGCGCCACCTGCAACAGAAGTCTGACACCTAGTGAGCCTGAAGAAGAAGGTATCAGTCCCTCAACGGCAGTCACCTGCATTGTATGCGTGTATCGAACTGTCTGTGATAAGTTGAAATGTCAGACCTGTCAGAGTTCCAAAGAGGAATGATTATTGGAGCGCGTTTAAGTGGAGCATCGGTTACGGAAGTAGCAAACCTTTTGGGATTTGAAGGAGTACCGTATCAGCCATTATGACAGCGTACACGAAAGTAGGTAAGACGGCGTATTCAAAGCACAACAGTGGCCGAAAGTCAAAGCTTGCTGATAGGGACAGAAGGGTCTTGAAGCCCATAGTAGCCCGAAAGCACAAGCAATCGTTGTCCGAGATAACATTCGAAATGAACAGTCATCTTCAGGACCCCGTTTCAACAAAAATTGTCAAAAGGGAACTTCATGCTGCGAATATTTAAGGCAGAGTGGCAATTCGTAAATCCTTGGTGACAGCAACTAATGCTTTCAAGCGACGCCAATGAGGGAAAGATCACAAAGGCTGGTCTTCACAGGATTGGCAGCAGGTAATAGTATCAGATGAATCGTCCTTCACCCTATTTCAGATGACCGTACGTGTTTATGTCTGGAGAACGCTCAGAGAAACGTTTAATCCTGAATGCAGACTGTAAAGCATAGAGGTGGTTCTATTATAGTATGGGGTGCGATATCTTGACGCGGTCTTGGACCACTTGATAGTCTGCATGGGAGAATCAATTCCAATCACTATCTAAGCATTCTAGGGGATCATGTCCATCCTTTTGCCCAGACTGTATATTAGACCGTTCTGCAGGAGGAATGGCTTAATATTCCTTTAAGTATTGTCCATGACCTTTATGCATCTATCCCACGTCGCATTAAACCCGTACTTCAGTCAAAGGGTGGTTCAATCCCCTATTAATAAGGATTTTCCATTATTTTATTTCACTGGTGTTCGTATTATTGAAAAAAGGGAATAAGGGAGAAGGGATATTTTAATACTAACTATTCATACCCAACTTACATTTTTCTTTTTCAAACTCGATCGAAATTTTTCCAACGCAAAAAGGATCCAATACAAACCAATTAATTACTTTCAAGTCCATATTCGAACAATTTAGTCGGAGTCCAAATTTCATTACGGATCGCAAAGCAACAAGTCTTTAGAGACCAGGACACCCTCTAAAAGCACGAAAACGCCAAATTCGAAAGCAACAACAGATCTGCTGAAAGGGAATCGGGGGGGGGGGATATTTCACACCTTAAGTACAAAAAGTACGCAAGCCCGTTAAAAAATTTAGGGGAAAAAAAAAGAAATCTGGATCACAGTTACTCTCGCCGTTTATTCGAATTTCGATGAATTTCTTCATCCTGACTTTCAGAGCACTGGACACAAATCACATAGCATAAACACTAATAGTAGTGCTTTAATTAAGACAATCCGATTCCCCTAGCTCGTGCCAGTTCCGAGTCGGCCGTCAAGCGCCCGCGAAACGATCCCGCACGCTCGATCCGAATCCACCACCTAGCTGATCCATTCTGCGCCATATTCCCACGCGAGGATGGACCTACCTCCCAGTCCGCACGAGTGAAACTCAGCGCTTCCTACCGCAGCTCTACCTTCAGAGCCAAACTTTATCCGGAAGTAACGGATCGAAACTGCAGACTTTCTTTATCAAAATTGTTCTATCGACTAGAGGCGGTTCACCTTGGAGACCTGCTGCGAGACGGATTGGCATGAAAATGACATTCTCTCCTTTGGAAAAATTTGAAAGGGTTGATATGAAATGCTCTTTCGATACCACGTTTCTATCTCCGTAAGACACTCATCTAGGAACAATCGAACTCCTATCGAAAAATATTCCCCCCCGGTTCCTTTATGGGCGTATCCGATATCGTTTGCGTTACCGCACTCATGGCCGTATGTCCTATTAACTTTTTCCAGATTTTTAAATCTTGTTTCCTTTTGGTCGTCATCGGATAATCCATAAGGTATCCCCTTCGAAATGGATCGCTGCGATCCCTAAAGGCCACCCACATTCGAAAAATGTCCCAATTGAACCGTCCTAAAAGTTCTCGATTGCGTATTAACTACTGCCACCCAGACTTGCACCGACGGACACTCCAGGCAGTCTCACTCCTTTCCTTCGACGCTCTCCGTCGCGACACTCCTAATCACTACCATCCGAAGCCCCGCAGATATGCAGTCCGAATATGCGAATCAGATGATCGATTAGCAAGTTAGAATTGCTTCGGAACCTCCACCAAGGTTTCCTCTCACTCCATCCTACCCAAGCACAGTTCAACATCTTTCGAGTCCCAACATGTGCTCTCCACCCCACCACGACATGGTAGGTGGGACGTCCCGTCGGCACGGCATCTCACATGAAACAAGATGGTGGATCCAAACACCATTCATTCTCGTTCTGCCTTTGGGCCTAATCGATAACCATATACTCTCACACATGATAGAATCCTTAGAATGAGTTTCAAGACGAGTCCGGTGGAGGACCTACCTACTCGCAGCGCATCCCTCAATCTCCTGTCAACTCCGGCGCGTGGACGTCCCCACACCACGAGCCCCGGTACCAACCCAAATAAACGGAGGAGAAGCCCTAGAAGGCATCGTCGGCACAGAAAATCGTAGGGTAGCGTGATGCAACCGACCTTGAAGATCCAAAGAAACCAAACAAATTCCGATTTACCTTCACCGCTTCCTCACCATCGCAGACCGCAGTCGGTGGCTCAAATAAATCGGAGGAGAGTCTCTGAAGAACATCGACGTCGCAGAAAATCGCTGTGTTGCGTAATGCAATCCGATCCTCACTCGAAGACGAAAACGCAACTACCGGGGAACGGGACTGGCTATCGGTGAAAAGCCTCGCACAACACTTTTCCTTCCGCCTTTAGACTTAATCGAGACCCATTGACTCGTACACGTGTTAGAGTCCTTGGTCTGTGTTTAAAAAAAAAAGCCGTGTGGAGGACCGCCCTTCCCGCCTCGCATCCGTCAGTCAAGGACACCTCCGCACCACAAGTCGAGGTTCGTTCCCTGCGTTTAGGCAAGAGAAAGAGCGGTGACGACAGACGCTTGAATTTGGAGAAAAAATGATTGCTCTCCTCCGTCAGTTCGTCAAAGTACTCTTTTTTTCGGTTTCATCGGGCTGTGTTGCATCAAATCATGTAACTTTATTCAGACGTAAGAAAGATGGAAGACAAGCAGAAATTGTTGGAAAGGGTGTGGAACAGAGATTAATCATTGGGGTTGATTACTTATCAACATCGCATTCAGAAGCAACATGAGGGATATGGGCTTCATAATATTTAACCTCGGTTAAATGACGAGAACGAAACTGGCAACCTCCCCAAACATCCAAACCCCGCCAATGGTTTAACATTACGACTCTATTTCAAAGCATCTTTCAACAAAAATGATCAAGGTAGCTTCGAACACCGAAAGATACAAAGCTTCAAATAAATCCTTAAAATGCGGAAATTAAGAGGAACCAGTAAAGGGCTCAAGTGCCGCCTTCGTCGCAATTTTGTCGTTCAAAACGACGTTGCTTTACTATTCCCTACGAAGTGTGACATTCGAAACGTCGAATTAATATTCAGATTATTATTTCAATTTTCAGTTAGGATTGCTAAAAAATAATTTTGTGACTTGACGTGGACACATTTCAAAATATTACTTTATGTTCTCATAAGTTTAGAAAGAAAAAAATAGTTATTTAGCTATCAGAGGATACGATTCTCATAACTATTAAAAATTTTCATGCTAGTATACAAGTAAACTATCGTATACATTATAAAACATAATTTATTTTTTATGACTTTTCATTTTTTTCGTATAAAAATATTAGTTATTTTTAAAAAATGACACAAAAACTATTAATTTTTCGCATCTCATGAATAAATTATAAATGATGAAAAAATAGTTGATAAAAAGCATTCCACTCATCCCAGTTTTAAAAACTTTTCATTTATCCAAAAAGTCACAAATGTAACATTTTATCAGACTTCTTTAATTTTCAGGCTCACTCTCTCTTTCTCACATTATATATATATATATATATACAAACCCTAAAAAAAGAATTTTTAGAACCATTTCACTCTTTCCTCCCTTCAGAACACAGAAATGATCTTTAACATCACTCGAAAGATATTGCATTTAGAGATATAAATGTCAATAATAACAACAATAAAAAAAATTTACTTTGAATAGATTACCAAAAAAATAAAAGTATGGAATTTATGAGTAATAACAAGTTCTATTCTCAAAAATACATTTAAATAAGCAAGCATTTTGAAAGTGCAATTCTAAATTCTTTAATGAGTTTTTATAAAGAATTGTCCTTCGTAGAATCATGGGCTCGAATAAAGGGGAAAACGTTATTCATCCTTTTTCTTCTTTAAAAGCTTCTCAGTGAAATGAACGTGCATTCAGTGGAATTAAATTTTCAATTCAATTCCACTGAATTTTGAATATGCGAGTTCAATAACTTCATTGTTTAGAAATCCACTAAGAATATCATTTTTAATTCATAAGGAACAACAAGTTCAATTTCAAAAGTGATTTTTGCAAAAATTACCATAAAAAATCATTATAGAATAGAATTCAACTAAAATCTCCAAACTGCACCTTTGTGTCAATGAGATTTTCTTTTTCATGGTAAATGAGATCTTTTCTATAAACGATTTACACTCTAGGATAAATTACCAAGAGAAAGGTATTATCTTCAATTTTGAGTTCCTTTGGGGCTTTATTCAATAGAATTGCAATAGGAGTGAGGATTCAATAATATAATAATTTTAAGGAAGTTACAAAAAAATTCCTCAAAATTTATCTTTAGAAATTATAAAAAATTTCTCGACATTTATCTTTAGATAGCTAGAAAAAAATAGGTTTCTAATTCAGGAAAAAAAATATTTCTTAGTTAAAAATGCCACTTTTTCGAAGTCAATAAGTTTGTCAAAACTCAGCTTTTAATTTATATACCCGCATTACATACCAATTTAGATAATTGATTCTCTTTTTTTTTTATAATTTTAATTAAATTACCCGTTTCAGAATCCCTAGAAATACTTATTTCTATCTCTTTAGATAATTCATCCCATTCTCATTTAAAATTGACTCGTTGAACAAGTGACTATGTTCTTCCTCCGATAAACAACACTTTCTCGCCATAATAAACTGGAATCAAGGCCTTTCCGAAATAAAAAAAAAAAAAGGAAATATATATCCAAAGCAACGCAAAGAGTTACAGTACTGTAGGTAAAACTCCGAAAAGAAAATAATAATCAATATATAGCAGCACAAACCAATAAGGTCGTAGTGAAACCAGGAACGCGAATGTTTACATCGCGGGGGAATTTAAAGAGCCGAACAAAGTTTGCTCCTCCCCCACAACAGCTGATGTGCAAAACATCAAATTAAGGCAGAATGCGAACAAATTGAAGGACTTTCATTAAATATGCCATACGGTAATTTTCCAGACATTGAATATGCAGGTGGGAATGGAGTCACAGAGTGAGATGCGTTATTATACAGTAATTCACTCTCTCCAGTAGTTTTGTTCAAAGTGTTTTTGTAGAGGGATCAATATCTGAAACATTTCAAAATATTGAAACTGTCTCGATATTTTGAAATCAATATTTGTTTTACACCCTTCTCAATTTTACCATCAATATAAGAATGATGAACGAATGTTATTACATTTATAATTAAAAAGATATCCCCTGAATGCCCAATTTCTATCAAGGAATAATTTAATGGGAGCCTAAATATAAAAATCTGCTTTCGACAGTTAGTATACATCAGTAGTTATATACTATAATACAAAATATCCATATATGCCTCGTAGCGAAATAAACAACAAAATGAAGGTACAATTAAGAAAAGTTATACATTTATTTAAGCTTACTACAATATCAATTAAAATAATATGAAAGGATTAACAAGTTGGTTAAAAATCTAGCAGCAAACCATTTCTTTTTTTATTAAGTTGACATAACTCACAATTATACGCATAATTATTTATACATTAGTTATTAATTCTTTCCAATAATACCGTGGAGGTATGAGACAATTTTTTGAACACCCGCATTATAAAATTGAAGATTTGTTGTTTCTACTAATTTAGGGCTTAGAGAATAATGAACATTTTTTTAAATTTAATTCTTTCTTTTTACAAAAAAAAATATATCATTATGCTGAAAATACTTGGAGTTGCTCATATTTTCCAAAAACTTTTATTATCTCCCCTCTTATCGCAAGAATATAATTAATGAGAAAGATATAATGAGAAATTGGATTGCGAGTAAACATGTCATCTTCAATGTTTGTGGTATAGTTTTTATATATAACGTTATAATCATACAGAATTGTAGAGACTAGATAAAAAATCTAACAATTAATTTTTTTAAACCAAATCTGAGAAATATGATCAGTATTAATTTTTGACGCGTCTTGCTTGAAAATGGAGGTTAGACATGTTAAAAATCATAAGAAATGAAAAACTACTCAAAAGCTGTCTTGCTCATTTCAATTGTACAAAAGCATCCTCAATATTTATGAAAACTTGTCAGTCGAATTATCAAATCAGTTTTTCTTTCTTTTTTAAGTACATTTAAGAAACAGGAAATTTTTCGGTGATATTTTACTTTTAAAATCTTACAGGAGCATTTCAATGCTTAATGTCGAGATTCCAGTCGGCAAAAAGAATAATGAAGTAGTGAAACGAAATCATTTGCGTCGAAACAATATTTAGCTTATATTGATTCTAATAGTGCCACATTTTTCACTCGTATTTACGTTAAATTACGTATTTCGGTGTTTTATGTGTTACCTTGTTTCTAATTTTTTTGTTTCGCAGAAGAACATACTTTAATAAAAGTGAAGTGTACATTTTGGAATGGAATATTTTGCGAACTTTCATATTTTACAAGCAAAATTTTCGAACAAAAATAGGCTATTTATAGCACATTTTTATCTAAAATAAAAGTGCATTTTTTTCATACGGTTTTGACGCTCGGAGACGAACGAATCAAAATCTGTTCGCAATTTTATGGTGCTGACTGGTGAAGATGAATCGAAGTCGCGCGTCCTTTGGTTTAAACCCCAATACATATTCTGCCTAATTTATTACTCGGGTTTCGGACAGGCAATCGGTAATCAGTTC